TCAGGATGTGATGTGGTGTGGAGAGTCGGGATGTGTGATATTGGATCGTGGAGAGTCGGGATGTGTGATATTGGATCGTGGAGAGTCAGGATGTGTAGTATTGTGTCGTGGAGAGTCAGGATGTGTAGTATTGTATTGTGGAGAGTCAGGATGTGTAGTATTGTATTGTGGAGAGTCAGGATGTGTAGTATTGTGTCGTGGAGAGTCAGGATGTGTGGAATTGTGTCGTGGAGAGTCAGGATGTGTTTTATTGTCTCGTGGAGAGTCAGGATGTGTGGTATTGTGTCGTGGAGAGTCAGGATGTGTGGTATTGTGTTGTGGATAGTCAGGATGTGTAGTATTGTATTGTGGAGAGTCAGGATGTGTAGTATTGTATTGTGGAGAGTCAGGATGTGTAGTATTGTATTGTGGAGAGCCAGGATGTGTAGTATTGTGTCGTGGAGAGTCAGGATGTGTGGTAATGTGTTGTGGAGAGTCAGGATGTGTGGTATTGTGTCGTGGAGAGTCAGGATGTGTAGTATTGTGTCGTGGAGAGTCAGGATGTGTAGCATTGTGTTGTGGAGAGTCAGGATGTGTGGTATTGTGTCGTGGAGAATCAGGATGTGTAGCATTGTGTTGTGGAGAGTCAGGATGTGTGATATTATGTCGTGGAGAGTCAGGATGTGTGGTATTGTATCGTGGAGAGTCAGGATGTGTGGTATTGTATCGTGGAGAGTCAGGATGTGTGGTATTGTATCGTGGAGAGTCAGGATGTGTGGTATAGTATCGTGGAGAGTCAGGATGTGTGGTATTGTGTCGTGGAGAGTCAGGATGTGTGGTATTGTATCGTGGAGAGTCAGGATGTGTAGTATTGTGTCGTGGAGAGTCAGGATGTGTGGTATTGTATCGTGGAGAGTCAGGATGTGTGGTATTGTATCGTGGAGAGTCAGGATGTGTAGTATTGTGTCGTGGAGAGTCAGGATGTGTGGTATTGTGTCGTGGAGAGTCAGGATGTGTGGTATTGTATCGTGGAGAGTCAGGATGTGTGGTATTGTGTCGTGGAGAGTCAGGATGTGTGGTATTGTATCGTGGAGAGTCAGGATGTTTGGTACTGTGCTGTGGAGAGTCAGGATGTGTGGTATTGTATCGTGGAGAGTCAGGATGTGTAGTATTATGTCGTGGAGAGTCAGGATGTGTGGTATTGTGTTGTGGAGAGTCAAGATGTGTGGTACTGTGTCGTGGAGAGTCAGGATGTGTAGTATTGTGTTGTGGAGAGTCAGGATGTGTAGTATTGTGTCGTGGAGAGTCAGGATGTTTGGTACTGTGCTGTGGAGAGTCGGGATGTGTGGTATTGTATCGTGGAGAGTCAGGATGTGCAGTATTATGTCGTGGAGAGTCAGGATGTGTGGTATTGTGTTGTGGAGAGTCAGGATGTGTAGTATTGTGTCATGGAGAGTCAGGATGTGTGTAATTGTGTTGTGGAGAATCAGGATGTATTGTGTATTGTGTCGTGGAGAGTCGGGATGTGTAGTATTGTGTCATGGAGAGTCAGGATGTGTAGTATTGTATCGTGGAGAGTCAGGATGTGTAGTATTGTGTCATGGAGAGTCAGGATGTAAGGTATTGTGTTGTGGAGAGTCAGGATGTGTAGTATTGTGTCGTGGAGAGTCAGGATGTGTAGTATTGTGTCATGGAGAGTCAGGATGTAAGGTTTTGTGTTGTGGAGAGTCAGGATGTGGAGTATTGTGTCGTGGAGAGTCAGGATGTGTAGTATTGTGTCATGGAGAGTCAGGATGTAAGGTATTGTGTTGTGGAGAGTCAGGATGTGGAGTATTGTGTCGTGGAGAGTCAGTATGTAAGGTATTGTGTTGTGGAGAGTCAGGATGTGTAGTATTGTGTCGTGGAGAGTCAGGATGTGTAGTATTGTGTCATGGAGAGTCAGGATGTGTAGTATTGTGTCATGGAGAGTCAGGATGTAAGGTATTGTGTTGTGGAGAGTCAGGATGTGGAGTATTGTGTCGTGGAGAGTCAGTATGTAAGGTATTGTGTTGTGGAGAGTCAGGATGTGTAGTATTGAATCGGATGAATTACGCCAATTGCCTCCATCATGTTTTGAAATCTGACCATTAGTTCCTGGACACGAATATTAGTACGAAATGATCACACTCAAACGCTGAATAATTCTTGCCTATCACTGTGTGCCTAGTTAATTGTTGTCCTGTGCCCTATACTTGGAAGACGTTCAAATCTTGGATTGAACACTTTTTTTGGAACTTTAGGTAAGTTCCTCCTTAATCTCTATATAGTGTTCTATTTTGCTATTCTCTCTCTCTGTTTGTCTCCGATTTTTTTTGTCACTTTCTTATCACTTTTTAAACGTGTTTCATAATGTGATATTGTGATGCTTTAGGCTGTTCTGTATTCGTAAAAGTGATTTCATTCATATACTGTTTCAGTGTCTCATCGGAATTATTGAGTTTTAAACGGAATCATGTTTTAATCAATCATTTTTTTTTTACGTTTCCTAATTTTCTTTAAGATTGTGTGTGTGTGTGTGTGTTTGTGTGTGTGTGTGTGTGGTGTATGTGTGTGTAGTGTGTATGTGTGTGTGTGTACTCGCCTAGAGCTGTGAGAGTGGAGAATGGTGAGAGTGTGTCTGAGCTTAACAGAGGAAAAACAAACCTGGAACCCCGACTCCAGGTTTGCCAATACTTAGAATGCAGTTGTAGTTGAGAAAATACATCACGATGACCATGACTTAAACGTGCGTGTGCTCGGTGAAGGAGACGGCATCTTGAGAAGGAAGTTTGACTCTTCAGTGTCCCATGAAGAACCACCTGTTGATCCTAGCAAGCTCTTGGCAGCTAGGAAATGTTGAGTCTTGAGATACATCTCAAACCTTCTTCGTGGACTGGGCTGGAAATCCTTTAATGAAGTACAAGTTTGCTCTAATCGGTTGACCAGACCACACACTAGAAAGTGAAGGGAAGACGACGTTTCGGTCCGTCCTGGACCATTCTCAAGTCGATTGACTTTGCTCTAATCTCTTGGATTAGAAGCACTATAGTCTCTTGGATGGTAAGCATTTATCAGAATTGTTGGAAAAGTTAGAGAAAAGTTTGAGAAGATTCGTCTTATTGATTGGTTGTGATTAAATTAGTGCACTACATCTTTAGCACACTTGAGAGATGTTTGGCGACTTCGCTGCTATGTATAAGGTTAATTTTCTCAAAGTTTCTTACCTGTCCCAACTTCGTGGACAGCTTGGAGTTGGAATCTACAACACAAGGCGCTCAGCTATTATTAGCCAATGATATAAGGTAGAAATAGAGACAGGCAAAGAAGAGTATGAAGATATGGTTACGAAAGATATGAATGAAAGGAAGATGATTGCTAGCGTTATTTTTTTTAATTTAAACGTGACTGGTGATGTGGAAATTGCTCACCATTAAAACCATGTGTTCTCTCAACACACACACATACATACAGACACATGCATTACACATATACACACACATGCATACACACATACAGACACATGCATTACACATATACACACACATGCATACACACATACAGACACATGCATTACACATATACACATGTACACACACATGCATACACACATACAGACACATTACACATATACACATGTACACACACATGCATACACACATACACACACATGCTCAGATACACATTTCAGTGTAAATATATCTCATGATGAAGAGATCAAGTATATGATGGTGAAGAGATAAACTTGATCTTTTCACCATGAGAGAGATGCACTATTCACCTCTTCATTATGGTAAAGAGGTGAATAGTTCGGTTTGAAGGATAGAGGATCTAATTGCTTATAAGGGGACCGGACTCTACACGAATCATAACTCTTATCAAAACATTTGCACATCCATGGGCGCAAGTGTGGTGTGGTGTATGTTGGGAACCATCAGTGTAGTTCCTTACACTGTCTGGGAGTGTACATACACACATATTCACTGCCTGGGAGTGTACACACACACACACACACACACACTGCCTGGGAGTGTACACACACACATTGCCTGGGAGTGTACACACACACATTGCCTGGAAGTGTACACACACACACACACACACACACACACACACTGCCTGGAAGTGTACACACACACACACACTGCCTGGAAGTGTACACACACACACACACACTGCCTGGAAGTGTACAGACACACACACACACACACACTGCCTGGAAGTGTACACACACACACACATGCAAATACATTTACGAAAAACGGCAAAAAAGTTTGCATAGAATAACAATAGAACGATAAAAAACCCCGAGAAGGGACAAGGAAAATATGCATATGATAAAATACTTCTTTAGCGAAGATAGAAATTGGAATAAACTAGATGAGAAAAAAAGTAGCAGAAAATTTCATCTACAAACTTCAGGCGTAGGAACAAATCCCCAAGGGCCGTGACGAGGATTCGAACCTACGTCCGAGAGCATCCCAGACGCTTCCTTAACGTGTGTTCAAACGTAGAAGCTACCTACAAGCTACCACACCTGTCTTAAGTCATTACAATAGTCGCCTGATTGGCTGTGAAGACACAGGTAGGCGAATACACCTCCCACACTCTCCCTCGAGCAAGAAATATATCTCCTTGTGAAGATTTATTCCAGCGAAATGTATTCAGAAATCCTTCAAATTGGGAAAATGATCTCCATTAAATTTCCACAGATTCCTGTTAATGCCGAAGGGATTCGTCTTGCCATAATTAGTGGGGAGATGGGATCTGAGGGAGGAAAGGAGAGAGAGGGAGTGAGAGAGAGAGAGTGAGAGAGGGAGAGAGAGAGGGAGGGAGAGAGAGGGAGTGAGAGAGAGAGAGTGAGAGAGGGAGAGAGAGAGGGAGGGAGAGAGAGAGGGGACCAACGCTACGACAAAATGAACACAAAAATTCCCTGCCTCACATCGATTTTTTCCGCCATTTTGTTTCGCAGATATTTTTTCCTTGCCGTAATATGGTGAGAGTGAGAGGCCTTTCTCTCACTCTCCTGGTGAGAGTGAGAGAGACCTTTCTCCCCCTCTCCTGGTGAGAGTGAGAGACCTTTCTCCCCCTACCCTGGTGAGAGTGAGAGAGACCTTTCTCCCCCTCTCCTGGTGAGAGTGAGAGACCTTTCTCCCCCTCTCCTGGTGAGAGTGAGAGACCTTTCTCCCCCTCTCCTGGTGAGAGTGAGAGAGACCTTTCTCCCCCTCTCCTGGTGAGAGTGAGAGACCTTTCTCCCCCTCTCCTGGTGAGAGTGAGAGAGACCTTTCTCCCCCTCTCCTGGTGAGAGTGAGAGAGACCTTTCTCCCCCTCTCCTGGTGAGAGTGAGAGACCTTTCTCCCCCTCTCCTGGTGAGAGTGAGAGACCTTTCTCCCCCTCTCCTGGTGAGAGTGAGAGACCTTTCTCCCCCTCTCCTGGTGAGAGTGAGAGACCTTTCTCCCCCTCTCCTGGTGAGAGTGAGAGAGACCTTTCTCCCCCTCTCCTGGTGAGAGTGAGAGACCTTTCTCCCCCTCTCCTGGTGAGAGTGAGAGACCTTTCTCCCCCTCTCCTGGTGAGAGTGAGAGCCCACCCCCCGTTGATAGAGGCACTGGACATCCCCAGAACATCTTGATAACAATAAACAAAAAACCCAAGATGTACCTGCCACTTTCTCCAACAATTAACCCTAACTACTCTCTACAATAGTTGCATGGTGTAGGGGCGAGATTCCTGCCTCCTATTGGCCAGCCACTTATAAAAATAAATTAGTCTCTAACTTTTATTACTGACACCAGCTACCGAAGGGAAAGGGGGTCAGGAGGGGCGAATGGTACTCGCTTGACCCTTGTGGTGGTCATAGAATAAAGAAAATGAAGCTTCCCCCAACGAGGTGGTTCGGCCATTAGTGTTAGTGCTCGTGGTGTCGGTCATTTGCTATATATTAATGATATGGCATTTGCTATATGTATCTATATATTAATGATACATGTGTTATATATATATATTGTAATGGCTTAGCGCTTTTCCCTTTGAAATTGTGAGGTTTATTGTATAGTGAGGTTCTTGCGGTGATGGGAACAGTGTCCTCATGTTATGTTATTTATCCTGTTCTCATATCCCAGTTACTATCCTATCCTCATATCCCAGTTACTGTCCTGTCCTCATATCCCAGTTCCTATCCTGTCCTCATATCCCAGTTCCTATCCTATCCTCATATCCCAGTTACTATCCTATCCTCATATCCTCATATCCCAGTTACTGTCATATCCCAGTTACTATCCTATCCTCATATCCTCATATCCCAGTTACTGTCATATCCCAGTTACTATCCTATCCGCATATCCCAGTTACTGTCCTGTCCTCATATCCCAGTTCCTATCCTGTCCTCATATCCCAGTTACTATCCTGTCCTCGTATCCCAGTTTCTATCCTGTCCTCGTATCCCAGTGCCTATCCTGTCCTCGTATCCCAGTTCCTATCCTGTCCTCGTATCCTAGTTACTGTCCTGTCCTCGTATCCCAGTTCCTATCCTGTCCTCGTATCCCAGTTCCTATCCTGTCCTCATATCCCAGTGCCTATCCTGTCCTCATATCCCAGTTCCTATCCTGTCCTCATATCCCAGTTCCTATCCTGTCCTCATATCCCAGTTCCTATCCTGTCCTCATATCCCAGTTCCTATCCTGTCCTCCTATCCCAGTTCCTATCCTGTCCTCATATCCCAGTTACTATCCCAGTTGGGGCTGCTGTTGTCTCCAGTAGTTCTTCTCGTTCTAAAATCCAGCGTTGGTAAAGGTGTCCCAGGCTTCAGTCATCCTCCTTAGCGGGCCACAGAAGCTGTGTCTCAGGAGATCAGCATCCATAGACGATACAGCAACATCTCCAGGGGTCGTGGGCGTGGTGACGTGGTGGCGTGGGCGTGGGCGTAGTGGCGTGGTGGCGTGGTGACGTGGTGACGTGGTGGCGTGGTGACGTGGTGGCGTGGGGACGTGGGGACGTGGTGACGTGGTGGCGTGATGGCGTGGTGACGTGGTGGCGTGATGACGTGGTGGCGTGGTGACGTGGTGGCGTGGTGACGTGGTGGCGTGGTGACGTGGTGGCGTGGTGACGTGGGGCGTTGTGGATTAATTAGGCAAGTGTTAACTGGGTAACATGCGATCTTCAGTCGCTCCTAACTGGTCAAGTTTGTTTGTCTTCATTGTTCTTTGTGCCTGTTCCCCCGTTCCTTCCCACACGCCCTTCCCTCCTCTTCCACACGTCTTTCTTCCTCTTCCACACGAATGTCGAGATTTTACAGTCTTTTTTTTTATGTTTTAAGTTCAGCACTTTCCTTCTCTTTCATCTCTAAATCACCTCTATTTATCCTCCTCTTCCTATCCCTCCTCTCCCCCGCATCCTTCTTTTTCTCCTCCTCCCTCTTCGTTGTTGTTCTACGTCTATCTCATCTTTCTCACTCCCCCTCCCCACCTCCCTCCTCCTGCTCTTGTGCTTTTAAGCACCAGAGTATTCAAGACGGCATTCCTGACTACAATGCCAGAGTACTCGGAGCGTTGGACCACAAGCACTGACGCCTCCACACCCACACTACCACACCTACCACCACTATAACCACCACCACAATCACCACCATCGTGCTTACCTATAATGTGACTTCGGGAGAGTAAAGTCTAACTCATCACGCCCCCACCTACAAGCGCTCTAGAAACTGTTGTATTGTAAAAGTTATGAATGGAGGTGGCTTCTACAACCTCTACCTTAATTGCGTTCCATTTATTGACCAAATGGAATACACAGGTACATGAGTACATAGGTACATGAGTACATAGTACATGAGTACATGGTACATGAGTACACGAGAACATGGTAACAATATATCCAAACATTTCTTCGAGTCATTTGCGTTTCCACTTAAGTCTTCGTGTACTAGTCTCTATTTTTCCATCTTTTCTATTCGTCTCAGTATCTTGCATGTCGGGATCATATCACCTGTTTCTTTTCCCTCTTGGGTATATCCACCGAACTAGCGCACCAGTGAAGGTATACCCATGGGTGAAGTGTACGAGTGAAGGTATATCCATGGGTGAAGTGTACGAGTGAAGGTATACCCATGGGTGAAGTGTACGAGTGAAGGTATACCCATGGGTGAAGTGTACGAATGAAGGTATATCCATGTACGAACTAGATATATCAATTGAACAATTTCACAATTTCCCTGAACAAGCTGAAAATGGGAGGCCAGCAATTATATCAACGAGGTGTATATATATATATATTCAGTAATATAAGGCAATGGTTGGGTGAGTAGTGTCATCACCATAATGTCATCTACGAGTAAGTATTGAGGCAATACGATGGATTTCAACACCAAGGGATGATATATGGGCAGCCCGTCCTCCAAACAAAGATCCAAAAGTGATTCCATGCACCCGCCAAACCCCCTGTTTATGAATGAAAAGCGGTTTACACACGACTCTCAACTGCTGACGTTCGAACATATCCGGAACAAGTGTTTCACTGACGAATTTTGTTCGAATCACAACGCTATAAATGCTTCACCCACGTACTACAAATACAAATAATCGCCAACAGAACCTAAACACCTGACCTAACCCTATGCCTATATATACACAATATGCTAATATATTATAATATTAATTTATATTTGAGAAAATTCCCGTTTTGAATGAAAAGCATGTTAAAATTTATGAATGCGTCTGTGGGGTTGACCGCTGGATGTAATGGACTTGAGTCGAGGACGGGTTGTATATGGGAGTTGGATTCTAAACCATTGCCTTACGATATTCTCTGAACCTACGCTGCTTATGTTATGGACTGGGAGTGAGCACACTGACAGGGTGATAGGGGATTGAGCAGCAATTTTGGTGACATTTTTAAAGATAAATGAATGCCTGGATTTATATATTAATGCCAGGAGCACAACCTCTATGACATGCCCTTAGCACTTACCACATATGGAAGGATAGGTCTTTCTATCCAATTGGGTGGATAATTCATTCTAGCAAAAAGATATATATAGATTAAAAACTATCCCCCACAAAACGATAATATTTATAGCAACTATCAACGTTTTTATGCGATTTTGTCAAACGTACAAAAATGAACTGTTGTGCCCCTCTAAAAATAAATAGTTCATAATTTGTATTATCGGAATGCCCACAAAAGGGAAGCCAAAAAGTGGAACAGTAACTACCCAGCCTAACCTCTCGTATCTTAGGCCTAACATACGCTCTTAGGCCTAAATTTGTAGATACATCTGCCGTATTAGGCTTAGGGATGTTTACATTTCGACGCTTCCTTCATTTTCTTAACCGTCCACAATATTATTAGTTCAGAACGTGAAATATTTTTTTGGGGGTGAAATGGTTTTACTGTTTTTTTCAGGTTCAATAACAGTTGCCATAACAGGTTGTTAGATCAGTGGCAACTGTGTTGACATATGAAACAGTAGACTGATCAGTGGCAACTATATTGACATATGAAACAGTAGACTGATCAGTGGCAACTATATTGACATATGAAACAGTAGACTGATCAGTGGCAACTGTGTTGACATATGAGAGAAAGAGAATAGACTGCTCACTGGCAATTGTGTTGACTGGATAGAGCTGGAATACGACGACTGAACAGGTCCAGAGAAATAAAGACTAAGACTGGAGCTGAGATAGAAGAACAGAGTGAAGGAACAGTGCCCAACAGGTTCAGGGAACTGACAGAAAATGGTTTACCAAAACACCCGAATCTGTATACTGAGACAATGTGCTTGTGAACCATTATGATTTATAGTACGGATTTTGACGTCAAAATGCGAATGTAATTTTTTTATTATTATTTTTTTTTTTTTTTTTACAGAGGACAGGTTGCTGAGGCAGTAATTAGTCTCAGTCTCCAGCCAGCCCTGTTTGTGTTTGTTTGTTTTTGTCTTGTTTTTCTGCCCTGATACAGGGCAGAAAAACTACAGGTTTCATACGAGTATCCTACAGGTTTACCACGAGTCTCCTACAGGTTTCATACAAGTATTCTACAGGTTTCCTACGAGTATCCTTCGCTTACACGCCTGGCGAACCTCATCTCTTCAAAACCCTAATCCCCCAAGTTGTATTCCTTAGTCATATTTATATTCAACCCGTCCTCGACTCAAGTCCATTACATCCAGCGGTCAACCCCACAGACGCATTCATAAATTTTAACATGCTGTTCATTCAAAACGGGAATTTTCTCAAGTATAAATTAATATTATAACATATTAGCATATTGTGTATATATAGGCATAGGATAGGTTAGGTTAGGTGTTTAGGTTCTGTTGGTGATTATTTGTATTTGTAGTACGTGGGTGAAGCATTTACTGCGTTGTGGTTCGAACAAAATTCGTCAGTGAAGCACTTGTTCCGGATATGTTCGAACGTCAGCAGTTGTGAGTCGTGTGTAAACCGCTTTTCATTCATAAACAGGGGGTTTGGCGGGTGCATGGAATCACTTTTGGATCTTTGTTTGGAGGACGGGCTGTTATATTGCTTGCCAACACACACCTGGCTTCGTTCTCGATTCCCAGTCGGGGATTCCAGGTTCGATTCCCAGACGGGACAGAAATGATTGGCCACGCTTCATTTCACTTAATTTAATTTATTATTGTAGAGGGATAATTCTTCCTAGACATATTAGTATTGATAATGATCATAAAACAACTCTATTGACTGGTTTTGCTTCTTGCAGGATCGGCGTTCGATCCCCCGATGGCCAACGTGGTTGGGCGCCGCTGGTCCTCATGTCCCAGCTCCTCCTCAGTGTCAAATAGTTCTCCTGGCTTGGTGCCTCCCATCGTACTCACCAGTAACGAGAACTGGTGATACTGGTCCTCTTATCACCCCTTCAAGTGCTTCATACTCATTCTGGCTTTGTTTAAATTGACTGAGATAACTTGACACGAAAAGTTCAGTTCTTGTCTATATCATCAATGAAAGTAAATGAGAGAAGATATGGCCATAGGAGAGAAGATATGTCTATTGGAGAGAATATATGTCCATTGGAGAGAAGATATGTCCATTGGAGAGAAGATATGTCCACAGGATAGGTAGGTGCATCTGTTCAGAAGCTGAGATGAGGGGGAACATTACATGTCCTGCTTGAACAAGGTGCTCTCATGGATGAGTCAATGAAAGCAAGAGGTGGAAATTTAATGTGTGTGTGGGAAGAATTTGCTGTTGTGTAGACAACTGGCACTGATGACTGTGCCAGATGACAGGGATAGAATGACACTGAGACTGTGCCAGATGACAGGGATAGAATGACACTGAGGCTGTGCCAGATGACAGGGATAGAATGACACTGATAACTGTGCCAGATGACAGGAATAGAATGACACTGAGGCTGTGCCAGATGACAGGGATAGAATGACACTGAGACTGTGCCAGATGACAGGAATAGAATGACACTGAGACTGTGCCAGATAACAAGAATAGAATGACACACACTGATAACTGTGCCAGATAACAGGGATAGAACTGGAGCCACACCTTTCAATATTCAAGAAATATTGCCGGAACAACCGTGGACATTTTCAAGAGGAAACTAGATTTATTCCTCCAAGGAGTGCCGGACCAACCGGGCTGTGGTGGGTATGTGGGCCTGCGGGCCGCTCCAAGCAACAGCCTGGTGGACCAAACTCTCACAAGTCAAGCCTGGGCTCGGGCCGGGCTTGGGGAGTAGAAGAACTCCCAGAACCCCATCAACCATTTATATGTGGGCCTGCGGGCCGCTCCAAGCACCAGCCTGGTGGACCAAACTCTCACAAGTCAAGCCTGGCCTCGGGCCGGGCTTGGGGAGTAGAAGAACTCCCAGAACCCCATCAACCAGGTAACCAGGTTTCAAAAGACACAAGGGCGAGCATGGTGACTGGATGAACTAAGAACTTATTAGTCTCGACTAACTCTTGCAGGTCAAGCATCTGTCTTGGACAGTAACCGAAGGAGTAGTGTAAATAAGATATCAGAGACCCGAGGAAGATTATATAAGCTGCGCATCATCATCGACTTTAAGTCTGTGATGATTGAATAGGGAAGATCGCTGGAGACTAATGCACATTTAGGGGATTTGTTAAAAATGTTAAATGCTCTGTTGAGCCTTCATGCAGTCGATTGAGCATGTATGAAATGGTGTGGTTGGAGAGCATTGCAAGAACACCAGGGATGTGTACTATTGACAGGAGTGTTCTGTATTCCGATATATATATATATATATATATATATATATATATATATATATATATATATATATATAATATACACATGATACAATTCTTAACGTAGACAATGATGAATCTGAAGATTGATTTACTGTATTAGTGATGTATAACAAAAAAAATAATGAATAGTACAAATGAAATAAAGACGCATGTACGGCGTTAGGAAAAAAGAGGAATTAAAGAAAAAATATGATGATTTGGTATAATGTTTAATGCAAAATATATTACCGAGGAGAGTGTGAAAATTTCATGTGAAATTGAAAGTAGAAAGAAATGGAAAACTAAGAAGACATGATGAGTGAGGAAGATTGACATGGCGAATAAGACACAGACATGAGGACCGAGTGTGTGACTAAAATTGACATGACGAGTGAGTTTATAAGAACGCCGAAACTGTGACAAATCAGTTCACAAGAGAGAGAGATATTGGCGAACAAGAACGAGTAGAACCAGTTTGCTAATGAACAAATATCTCTCCAAATTTTCAGATGCCATCACCTTCCAACACACCACAGAGTGCCGAGTGCTCTGGCTCTGACACAGCCTCACAGGGGCCATCCCCGAGGCACTTCACATCTTGTAAGATGTGGCGAAGGGATGCTAGCCACCTCGAGTATCTTAAATCCTGTTTTTCCTGTATTTTCCTCCAATCATCTGATGCTTCGACACCCTATGGCTGAGACAGGGTAATTATGATAGAATTTATTATACATATCTTTCTATAATTTGTGATAGACATTAATTTATATTTAAAAGATGTCCAATAACGAATGAAAAGGTGCATTAGTTATTGAAAACGAACGGGGGGGGGGGGGGGGGGGGGCACTTTTGTCGAATATTAATTAAGTAGATTTTCAGTTGGAATATTTTACTTCCTAAAACATGATGCAAAAATCTCCATAAAATGATGAGTTCTCTTGGATTGGATGTTGTGATGAGTGATGAATATATTTGTTTTGATGGTTTGTGGGGTGAATCAACAGGTGTTGTGGTTTGTGGGGTGAATCAACAGGTGTTGTGGTTTGTGGGGTGAATCAACAGGTGTTGTGGTTTGTGGGGTGAATCAACAGGTGTTGTGGTTTGTGGGGTGAATCAACAGGTGTTGTGGTTTGGGGTGGATTAGGGGTAGTGTGTTGTGGTAGTGGTTTAAATGGGTGGTAGGGAAGGGGGGGGGGTTAAATAGGTGGTGGTGGTTGGGATTGTAGTAGATGGGGATTGTAGTAGGTGGTGATAGAAGTAGGGGGTTGTTGTTGTAGTGATTGTCATAGGTGGTGGTAGTAGCTGGGGGGGGGTTGTGTTTGTAGCAGATGGTGATTGTGGTAGGTGGTGATTGTGGTAGATAGCTGTTGTGATGGGTGGTGATTGTGGTAGATAGGTGTTGTGATGGGTGGTGATTGTGGTAGATAGGTGTTGTGATGGGTGGTGATTGTGGTAGATAGGTGTTGTGATGGGTGGTGATTGTGGTAGATAGGTGTTGTGGTGGGTGGTGATTGTGATAGATAGCTGTTGTGATGGGTGGTGATTGTGATAGATAGCTGTTGTGATGGGTGGTGATTGTGATTGATAGCTGTTGTGATGGGTGGTGATTGTGATAGATAGCTGTTGTGATGGGTGGTGATTGTGATAGATAGCTGTTGTGATGGGTGGTGATTGTGATAGATAGTTGTTATGATGGGTGGTGATTGTGATAGTTGTTATGATGGGTGGTGATTGTGATAGCTGTTGTAATGGGTGGGGATTGTGGTAGATAGTTGTTGAGGTGGGTGGTGATTACCACCACCCCTGGGGTGGTAATCCATGCTCCACCCACTCCTCCCCACCCCAGGGGAGAGAGAAAGGTGTAGCGTGAATCACTATGCTCCCGGCACATCGCCACACTTGTTCAGTGTTTACTGTGAGGGTGAGATGAGGTGGGGGGTGAGGTGTGGGGTGTGGGGGGTGATGACAGGAAGAGTGAGGTCTTATGTAGTGTGAGGAGAAGTGAGGTTTTGACCACCCTTGTCCACCCCAACACCGGTGTAACCTTGAGGTGCATATTATTGGGGTGTAAATAGGAGGGGGTGTGGGGGGGTTGATTGGTGTATCACGTGACCTAATCCCCCCCAACCCCCTAACGACCATTGCGGCAGGTGCCCCCCCCCTCCCCTCCCTCTTGTCCCAAAAGATGGCCTAGTTCCCATTTGATCATACACTCAGCCGTCCGCAAGCATGGTCTCACTCCGGGTCCTCCAGAGCATCGCCATTTCGGTGTCGGGGCCACACAAAATGGCCAAATATTGCGGGTTATCCAGCGCGGGGCGGCTTCCGGACGAGCGCTGACGAGACGATAATAAAAGCTTGACTCCACAAGCACCCCGGAGCGGCGCCCAATCACAGGCTGCGGTTCCCTGGCGCCAACGACGATTGGTTGACGCTCGGCCGGGGGAAAAATCAATGCGAAAGTCGGTGAATCGCGAAAACAACACAACCACTGAATCGTCCCGACGCGCCATTCACGGCTTCGGCGTGAAGCCCGCATACAAACACCCTCTTCCCCCATAAACAAAAACATTATCGACATTTTATATACAATAAAAAACTAGTATAAATATCAATTAAAACAATTAAAACTAGCGTGTTTATTTTTCCGTTTCGTCGCAGTCGTCTGCGAATCCTGACGAACTGGAGTCATGGCCATTGTCCCTCAGGAAGGGAATCGAATGCCAGTCACCGCCACCTTGGGCCCGGGAAAATGAAATGTAATTTTGATGAGTGCCTTCCACCCCTCATCCCCCCCTCCCCACCCCCACGCCATATATCCCCCCCCCCACAAGCCGCCCCATATATCCCCCCCATCACCCCACCCACAACCAGGCGTCAGCAAAATGGTGCGCTAATGATATCACCAAATTGAAAATGACGAGCACCGCGCCGTTTCTAATGATCTTTAATTACACTGATGAACTTTTAATGAAGGGTTGATTGAAGTCATTGACTGATCCTGCTCAAGACTCTTCTGCTTAGGGGGAGTGTGTGTGTGTGTTTGCGTGCGTGAGTGAGTGTGTGTGTGTGCGTGAGTGTCGCCGGCAGGTCGCCAGGTACTAGCCGCTAATATTTACCTCTCCGGGAGACAACAAAACTTGTCGTCGATTGTGTGACCAACGGCTGGTGACTGGTTCCCCCCGCGGTGAGTCCCGCACCGCCGCCCGCGGCGCCGTCACCACCGCCGTCACCACCGTCACCACCACCGTCACCACCACCACCACCGGCACTACCGTCACCACCACCACCACCGGCACTACCGTCACCACCGTCACCACCACCGTCACCACCACCGTCACCACCACCACCGTCACCACCACCACCGTCACCACCACCAGGGAGCCGGTCGGCCGAGTGGACAGCACGCTGGACTTGTGATACTGTGGTCCTGGGTTCGATCCCAGGCGCCGGCGAGAAACAATGGGCAGAGTTTCTTTCACCCAATGCCCCTGTTACCTAGCAGTAAAATAGGTACCTGGGTGTTAGTCAGCTGTCACGGGCTGCTTCCTGGGGATGGAGGCCTATCTTCTTGAGGTTATCTTGAGATGATTTCGGGGCTTTAGTGTCCCCGCGGCCTAAAGCCCCGAAATCATCTCAAGATAACCTCAAGATAACCACTACCATCACCATCATCACCACCGTCAACACCACCACCACCACCACCACCACCGTCACCACCACCATCATCACCACCGTCACCATCATCACCACCACCGTCACCACCACCACCACCGTCACCACCGTCACCACCACCACCATCATCATCACCACCACCGTCACCACCACCACCACCGTCACCATCATCATCACCACCACCGTCACCACCACCGTCACCACCACCATCATCACCACCATCGTCACCACCACCTTCACCATCATCACCTTCACCACCACCACCTTCACCACCACCACCACCACCACCGTCACCATCACCGTTACCACCACCCCCATCACCACCACCACCATCACCACCACCACCGTCACCACCAACACCACCGTCATCACCACCACCATCACCACCACCATCACCACCATCACCACCACCACCGTCACCACCACCACCACCGTCACCACCACCACCACCGTCACCACCACCACCATCATCACCTTCACCACCACCACCACCACCACCACTGTCATCCCCACCATCACCACCACCGTCACCACCACCACCACCGTCACCACCACCACCACCGTCACCACCACCACCAGCACCACTGTCACCACCACCACCGTCACCACCACCACCGTCACCACCACCACCGTCACCACCACCGTCACCATCACCACCGTCACCACTACCACCACCGTCACCACTACCACCACCGTCACCACCACCGTCACCACTACCACCACCATCACCACCACCGTCACCACTACCACCACCACCGTCACCACTACCACCACCACCACTACCACCACCACCATCACCACCGTCACCACCACCACGACCGTCATCACCACCACGACCGTCACCACTACCACCACTACCACTACCACTACCACCACCACCTTCACCACCACCGTCACCTTCACCACCACCACTATCACCACCACCACCGTCACCATCACCACCAACACCGTCACCATCACCACCACCACCGTCACCACCACCGTCCCCATCACCACCACCACCGTCACCACCTTCACCATCACCACCACCACCGTCACCACCATCACCACCGTCCCCATCACCACCACCACCGTCACCACTACCACCACCACAATCACCACCACCACCACCGTCACCATCATCATCACCACCACCGTCACCACCATCATCATCACCACCACCGTCACCACCACCACCACCGTCACCACCACCACCGTCACCACCACCGTCACCACCACCATCATCACCATCACCACCGTCACCACCACCACCACCGTCACCACCACCACCACCACCACCATCGTCACCACCACCACCACCGTCACCACCACCATCATCACCACCATCGTCACCACGACCTTCACCACCACCACCACCATCATCACCTTCACTGTCACCACCACCACCATCATCACCTTCACCATCATCACCTTCACCACCACCACCTTCACCACCACCACCACCACCACCATCACCACCACCACCACCGTCAGCACAACCTCCACCGTCACCACCACCACCATCACCACCACCACCACCACCGTCACCACCACCACCACCGTCACCACCACAATCACCACCGTCACCACCAACACCGTCACCACCACCGTCACCCCCCACCATCGTCACCCCCCCACCATTACCACCGTCACCATCACCACGACCGTCACCACCACCACGACCGTCACCACCACCGTCACCATCACCGTCACCCCCACCACCGTCACCACCACCATCACCGTCACCACCATCACCGTCACCACCACCACCGTCACCATCACCACCACCGTCACCACCACCATCACCCCCACCACCACCACCCCCACCCCCACCACCTCCACTATCATCACCGTCACCACCACCATCCCCACCATCACCGACACCATCACCACCACCACCGTCACCACCACCACCCCCCCCCATCACCACCATCACAATCCACCGTCACCACCATCACTATCCACCATCACCACCATCACTATCCACTGTCACCACCACTATCACCACCGTCACCACCACCACCGTCACCACCACCACCGTCACCACCACCACCACCACCGTCACCACCGTCACCACCACCACCACTACCGTCACCACCACCACCGTCACCACCACCGTCACCACCACCACCGTCACCACCACCGTCACTATCACCACCGTCACCCCTACCACCACCACCGTCACCACTACCACCACCATCACCACCACCGTCACCACTACCACAACCATCACCACCACCGTCACCACTACCACCGTCACCACCACCACCGTCACCACTACCACCACCATCACCACCACCACCACCGTCACCACTACCACCACCACCGTCACCACTACCACCGTCACCACCACCACGACCGTCACCACTACCACCATTACCACCACCACTACCACCTTTACCACCACCACCACCGTCACCGTCACCATCACCACCACCACCGTCACCACCACCGTCCCCATCACCACCACCACCACCACCGTCACCACTACCACCACCACCGTCACCACTACCACCACCCTCTTCACCACCACCACCACCTTCCCCACCACCGTCACCATCACCACCACCACCGTTACCATCACCACCACCGTCCCCATCACCACCGTCACCACTACCACCACCACCTTCACCACCACCACCACCATCACCTTCACCACCACCACCATCACCACCGTCACCACCACCACGACCGTCACCACCACCACCACCGTCACCCCCACCACCGTCACCGTCACCACCACCACCATCGTCACCACCACCACCACCATCACCACCACCCCCACCACCACCCCTACCATCACCTTCACCACCACCACCCCTACCATCACCTTCACCACCACCACCATCATCATCACCTTCACCACCACCACCATCATCATCACCTTCACCACCACCACCACCGTCACCACTACCACCACCACCTTCACCACCATCACCACCACCACGACCGTCACCACCACCGTCACCACTACCACCACCACCTTCACCACCATCACCACCACCACGACCGTCACCACCACCGTCACCACCACCACCGTCACCATCACCACCACCGTCACCATCACCTTCACCACCACCATCATCACTTTCACCACCACCATCATCACCTTCACCACCACCATCACCACCGTCACCACCACCGTCACCACTACCACCACCACTTTCAGCACCACCACCACGACCGTCACCACCACAATCCCCACCGTCACCACCACCGTCACCCCCACCATCGTCACCCCCCCCCATCACCACCGTCACTACCACCACGACCGTCACCACCATAGTCACCATCACCGTCACCCCCACCCTTACCACCGTCACCACCACCACCACCGTCACCACCACCACCACTGTCACCACCACCGTCACCACCACCACCATCGTCACCACCACCACCACCGTCACCACCACCGTCACCACCACCACCATCGTCACCACCCCCACCACCGTCACCCCCACCCCCACCACTCCCACCATCATCACTGTCACCACCACCATCCCCACCATCACCGACACCATCACCACCACCACCGTCACCACCACCCCCCCATCACCACCGTCACCACCACCACCACCGTCACCATCACCACCACCGTCACCACCACCACCGTCACCATCACCGTCACCACCACCACCGTCACCACCACCACCGTCACCACCCCCACCCCCACCACCGTCACCCCCCACCCCCACCACCACCGTCATCACCCCTGTCACCACCACCACCACCGTCACCACCACCACCACCGTCACCACCGTCACCACCACCACCACCACCGTCACCACCACCACCGTCACCACCACCACCACCGTCACCATCACCACCCCCACCATTACCATCGTCACCACCACCACCACCATTACCACCGTCACCACCACCACCACCGTCACCACCACCACCGTCACCACCACCACCACCACCATCGTCACCACCACCACCACCACCCCCACCACCACCCCCACCACCACCACCATCCCCACCATCACCACCACCGTCACCACCACCGTCACCACCACCACCACCGTCACCACCACCACCACCACCCCCATCACCACCACCACCACCATCAACACCACCACCGTCACCCCCATCACCACCACCACCACTACCACCACCGTCACCACCACTCCCACCACCACCACCATCACCACCACCATCATCACCACCACCACAACCCCCACCACCACCACCACCGTCACCACCACCACCACCGTCACCGCCACCGTCACCGCCACCACCGTCACCCCCACCATCACCACCACCACCACCACCATCATCACCACCACCACCACCACCGCACCTCACAGCCTCACAATGACGTCACTCACAGCTCCACCCAACAAAGGGACCAAATAAACTCCCGTTGAAAAAAACGAAATTAAAAATTGTATGACACCTGAAATTTTTGCCATGTAATTGAAACATATTTTGTTTGGTTTAGTTGACGGAGGGAATCGATCCGGGGCGCGGGAGGGAGCCTTCCTTAGTGGTGGTGTGACGGACGAAGGAAGGAAGGAGGAATGAAGGAAGGATAGTAATTTTCTTTCTTCTTTCATCTTGAAAGGATTCGGAATGATGTCTGATCACGGAGCCTACTGCGACGCCATGTTGGAAGAGGGTCTTCTTGAAGCTATATACGAACCAAATACAATTCAAAAATTTACATATTGGAAGTCTATTTGCATTAACCAGTGGGGTACAGGAGCTGAATCTCGACCATGCAGGGACCTCTAGGTGAGCATACGCACATGTCCCTTCTAAAACTTTATTTGCAACCTACGTGAGACCAATGTCATTATGCAGCCTGAAAAAAAGGGCAAGTAAAAAATTAGAAAATCTCCATAGAAATGCAAGAGACTCGTTCCTGAGGTGAAGGATTTGAGCTACATGGAAAGACTGAAGGAATTAGACCTTATCACAATGAGAAACAACACTTCTTTACTGTTAGAAACGTCAATAAACAGAAAAATAGGTTTGATGATGAAATTCTTAAAACTAACTCAATAAAAATTTGCATATAAAAATATAAGAATAAAAAAAACAGTCACTGAATTAATCTAAAAATGTTTGGAATTCAAGAACATGTGTGTGAACACACTTACCTGTCTCCTACATCTAAAGTATATTATCAGCGGCATATGCGAGTCCATACCTTGTCAAGCACAAGACGAGGCTGGAGAAAGCTCAAAGGTATGCCACTAGACTAGTTCTACAACTAAGAGGCATGAGTTACAAGGAAAATCTGCATGAATTGCACCTCACGTCGCTGGAAGCCAGAAGAGTTCGAGGAGAAATGATTACAACATGCAAAATTCTCACGGAAATTGACAGGGTAGATAAAAACAGATTATATAACACGGGTGCTACACGCACAAGGTAACACAGGTGGAAGCTGAGTACCCAAATAAGCCACAGAGACCTTAGAAGGAACTTTTTCAGTGTCAGAGTGGTTGACAGATGGAATGCATTAGGCAGTGATGTGGTGGAGGCTGACTCCATACATAGTTTCAAATGTAGATATGATAGAGCCCAATAAGCTCAAGTACCTGTACACCAGTAGATTGACAGTTGAGAGGTAGGACCAAAGAGCCGAAACTCAATCCCCTACACAAATCCACCCACCCCAGCTCCCTGCTACTATCTCTCGCTTAGACCTACATCAGTAGACTCAGTAGAGTGGAATGCTCTGCGAATTCTGGAAATAATGCGTCCAAGAAGCGTCTTAACGTATGGTACACAAACGCCGATGGAGTTACAAACAAAGCAGAAGAAATAAAGGAAAATGTCAGCAAAAAAGTAACCTGATTTAATTGCAATAGTGGAAACAAAAATCTCATATGCAATATTTCTAGGGAGATAACAAGTAATAAGGAAAGTAAGAAAATAAAGACAAGGAGGGGGAGTTGCACTCCTAATAAAATTTAAGTAGAAGTTTGAAGAACTAGAGAATCTAGAACTAGAGAACTAGAAAACTAGAGAACGCAAACGCGCTCACTCAGTCACCGGGACTCTCACAGCAGATGGGAAAAGGATATAGTGGTGGCAGTAACTTACAACCCTCCCTCGGGTGTAAACAAAAGACTTGGGCAGCAATATGACAAAAAGAAAGCAGGCATTGAGGAACTGTAGAGAGCAGCAAACAGCTACACATCTTAGTCATATGAAACCAAAACCACAGAGATCGACTGGCAGTCTAGAAATCCACATTGTGTAGAAGAAACGTGGGGAGCGAAACTAGTGGAAGTTGCAGAAAGAAACTTCTCAGGAGGAAACAAGAGAAAGGGGAGGAGGTGCACCAAGTCTTCGCCCAGAATGAGGAAGACATCCAGAACTTAAGCTCAAACATAATTTTTTTCCATAGGACATGCAG